GCATGTTTGGGATGCTCTGGATCGGCGTATACGACAGCGTGTTCCAGTTCCTGCCAATATCCAGCAACTTCGCACAGCCATTGAAGAGGAGTGGACCAACATTCCACAGGCCACAATCAACAACCTGATCAACTCTATGCGAAGGAGATGTGTTGCACTGCGTGAGGCAAATGGTGGTCACACCAGATACTGACTGGTTTTCTGACCCCCCCAGACCCCCCCAATAAAGCAAAACTGCACATTTCAGAGTGGCCTTTTATTGTGGCCAGCCTAAGGCACACCTGTGCAATATTCATGCTGTCTAATCAGCATCTTGATATGCCACACCTGTGAGGTGGGATGGATTATCTCGGCAAAGGAGAAGTGCTCACTAACACAGATTTAGACAGATTTGTGAACAATATTTGAGGGAAATGGTCTTTTGTGTGTATAGCAAATGTTTTAGATCTTTGAGTTCAGCTCATGAAAAATGGGAGCAAAAACAAAAGTGTTGTGTTTATATTTTTGGTCAGTGTAGTTTTCAGCTCCACAGGAAGAAATCAATAACTAGTCTGTACAGCAGTGTCTCAGCTCACCATCATGATCAAATCTGCCGCTCACAGACAGACTGGTAGCAGATCAGATAGTTAATAAACAAAAACACACATATACAGCGTGGTATTTGTTTGACTTAAACAGCTGTCTGTGCAGATTAGGCTTCAGTAATGCAACAGAAACAGACCTAGACTGTAAATGCAGGGGGTTTCTGGTTACCATGGAGATGACTTAAAACCTTTTGGTGATGCATGAGTAGAAAAAATCACATAACTGTTTAATCTGTCGAGAGACACTTAAAAGAAGTGTTGAGCTCCCAAGCATAAATCAGGCTCTATTCTCTTATTGGAATGCAGCTGGATTATGGTTGCAGAGAGTAGCTGTGAGGCTAGAGGCTAGATGTTTCCTTTGCTTCAAGAGTCAAGCAGTGCAACTACTTTCAGTCAGGGGAGTACATACCAGAAACTGATTTACACAAGCTAACAGTGTTCTCTTGAGTGAAACTTTTCTCCCTGTTACAATATCATATATGTGACTGATATGATGTTGGCAAGGACACCAACTAGTAAATGCCCTATTGCCCCTCTGCTCAAGGCCTCTATGTGTGGAGGAATCCATTTTTAAGAAAATTGAGACATCAATTCAAGCTTGAAAAAGTTTGAGAAACAGCACCCGTTTACCGTACTGTTTGACAACACGACACGTTATTCTTTATACTTATGTAAATGGTGTGATAATGGTGAAAAGCAGTATATCGTGACACCCCTGATCACAGTGGCTGTACATCAAGACGCGTGCATGGATGTACCTCTCACATAATGTAGCTCTTAGAGAATGTTGATTGGATTTTTGGTACAAAGAGTGACTGGAATGTATCAGTACCTTGTTTAAAACAAGGCCAAACAACACCTCTACTGTAATATGACCAATGTCATTACATGCTATCTATGCACGGTCCTCTGTGCAGTCAATTACTAGCAGTGCTGCATTCTTTGTACTGTATTTGGTGTGTAGCTGAAGTTCCTTCTGAAAAGTCTTAAGCTGTGCGATGAGAGTAATGTTAGGGTCAGCTCACTCTTGATTCAATCAATTCAGGAAATTAGATTGACTTTCTGTCAAGATAAATCAAAATATCTGTGGTATCTAAGGCTTAATAATCAATAATCAAATAATCAAAACACCCTGTTTTTCCACATTTTTGTTCCTCTAGAAGTAAGGCCAAGGATGGTGATGACACTAGTCCAGAGTGAGATATCTTTAACAGCTACTTTCCAGACCATCATGGGATAGCTATGGGTAGTCATGGTCCATAAAGTATAATACATAATGTTTTTGGTGACACATCTAACCAAGCATAACTTCTTGTTCTTGTTGAATTCTCTCAATCAGCAGATTGTCTTAAAATGTATGGTTTCAGTAGTATAAATCTTTTCTAGCACCACCCTCAGAACATACCTACCATATTCAGCTTTAAAGGTGCCATGTGGAGTTTTCCTGTACACAAACACGAGTCATGTTTATATGCATTGTTGTGGCTGCAATACATAGGACACTGACACAAATACACAGACTGTCAAAATAATGGATGAAGCTACCGAGACGTCACCCATTGGTTTGTTGACTCCTGTTTTGTAGCCTCAAGTTTGGCATTTTTGACATTGCCATATTGTTTTTTTTGGAGCAAGAAGTGTAAACAGGTGAATTACAAAAAAACAGAGACCAAAACGTTTTTTTACCAGGCTGTAAACCTGTTTATTTCTGTAAAGTTGGGCATTTGAAAATGGGGATCTAAGTGCCCATTAGGAGGAACTGCAGTTTTTGGCACTTCCGTGTTGGCTTCATTTTTCAGCCCCAGATGTTGCTGCTTGGCCACAACATGCTGGCAGCAGAGCGCATCCAATATAATCCAGAAGCTTTGCTGAAGCTGCTACTAGTGCTGTCAAAATATCAATCTACCGAAACATATTGATACTGAGTATTTGAATCTGTTTCAGTACTCCTTTTCCACAATATTGTTGGACCAGTACCTGTCAGACTGGAGTCAACAAAGAAAGGACTCAGACGCAGGACTCAAAAACCCTGGGTTTTGTACTGAAAAAAAGGGTTTGGTGCACAGATAATCAGTCCAAAAACACAAACAAAGGTGTCAAAAGGCAATAGACTTAAGCAGGGTCAAAAATGCAAAAATCTGGTCAAATCCAAAGAGAACACTAGGGAAAATGACTAGAACACACTCAAACAATTGAGAACCAACTGGCAACAGACACAGGGCAGCACAAGGACTAAACACACAAGGGAGGAGGGGTAATGAGGAACAGGTGAAACCAATCAGGGCAGGGCAGGTAATCACACAGAAGGGAAACACACAGGGGCAGGAAGTAAAGTACCTGAAACAAGAGACAAGGGTGAGCATCAAAATAAAAAAAGGAAATACTGGGGCGTCGGTGGCTTAGTGGATAGAGCAGCTGCCCCATGTATAAGGCTGTTGCCGCAGTGGCCCGGGTTCGACTTCAGCCTGTGGCCCTTTGCTGCATGTCATCCTCCCATGAACAAGAACATTTCCTTCCTCATTATACATTTGCATATATTATACATTTTTAAAGTATCCAACATTGTTTACATTCATGTTTTCTTGCTTGCAGTCTTTTTCCTACCTGCCTTTTTGGTGCATTGCAGCATAACTTGGCATGATCACCAGAATAGTGTGGCACCATTGACCGAACCACGTACAAAGAATTTGCCCCACATTACCACTAGAGGTCAAAACTCCACAGGGAACCTTTAAGGTAGGGCTGTTTTGGTGTAGTTGAACACTGATGCTTGTAGCGATAGCTAATGCGGCCTAACACTGTCTTGGTTAAAAAAAAAAAAAAAAAAAAAAAAAAAAAATCCTGAAATGATTGATAACATTGTGAACTGGTCTTAGCTCTGTTACAGATGAAATATTCACTTAATAAATGTATATCTGCAGTGTTCTGTAGGAGGTGCATTGCAAAGACACAGACAGAACATTGTCTTTGAGTAGCAATGGGAATCACTGGTCATACAGCAGTGTTTTAAGGATAATATTCTTTTGAATTAAAGTATATCACAGACATAAAGGAGGGGAGGGAGAGGTTTTTACCCAGGGTATGAACCAAATACATGATATACTGTATATTCTCTCTATGGGAGACACTTTTAGGAATATTTACTGAAGCCACATTTATGCTTCACACGAGGTAGGAGTCTCACCACGATATCTATTCTGGACAGGGTTCCCATGGTCATGAAAATTATTGAAAAGTCATGGAATTCTGTTGTGTGTAATGAAATTGTCACAATAATCTTCCATGGATAACCTTCCATGTAATGTAACATAATGGCAGATTTATTTTCTGAAGCTGATCATGTAACGTACTGTAAAACTTCAACTAAAAGCCTCGTCCCAATTAATTAATTTTTTTTCCCCTAAGTTCTTTTGATGTCTAAAACCAGGTTGTTGCTACCTCAAATTATGTGTCCCTTGCTTACCCTGTAAGTTATTCTTATTCCTTTAGTCTGTAAGGGTCCTCAGATCAAAAGAATCAAAGGTGTTTTTCATAAAAATTAATCAAAGTTGTGAGTATTGTTTTAACAGGATAAAGTGGTGTTGTATCGGTATGCCACATGCTGTAATCCTCAAGTGCTGTTATTCTCTCTCTTTCATGCACTGTCTGTTGGAGCTAGATCAAATGAATGATTCATAACTGATGTTATCTGAAGCCTAATTTTTACTAATAATAGTACTAGTACTATTCTTACTGGGTTATATGAACAGTTTGATTGTATTTCCCGATCTTTGCTGAGCAACAGTAGTATTAAGTGGGATTTATTCGTTGTAGAAATAAGTTGACTAAAAGGGCAGACAATTATATTGTGCATAAAATTAGATGCATTAGGATAGAGTCATATGCTCTTATTTTAAGTTAAATGATAAGCACATCGCCATTTGTGGCCAATTCATTATTGTATTTATTTTATAGTCTGGAATTAAACAGTAACTGCTGATTTTCTTATGCAGTTGATTCTGAGGACAGCGTTTGTGTTGTGTGTATGACCATATAGAGGATTATAGGTAGAAACGTGTGGGTCGGTGTGTGGGTCGGTGTGTGGGCCTGTGTGTGGGCCAGTGCGCCTGAATGTCCCGGGCTGAATTTGTGTCCCAGTCTGCTCCTGGTCTCGTCTCTTATACAACATATGTGAACATGTAAAGATACTTTATTTGCACTTAATTATACATTCATACTTTTGTTTCTGTGCAATCTTGTAATTCTGCATGTGACCACCACTAGATTAAATTTAAAAGAAATCAGATATGAGCATTTGGAAGCTCATTTTTTCACCAACAAAACAATCGAGGAGCATAACCCTGGAACCCCCTAGCAGGTGCCGGGTCTCGTATCCTTCTCACCTTTTTCACCTCTGACCCATTTTTATGCCTGTAGAATGAAGCGTGAGATGGATCGGCGATTTGGCGCAGCTTCTGCAGCGATGCAGGCACTGCACCGCACTGTTGTGGTGAAGAGGGAGTGGAGTCAGAAGGGGACGCTTTAGATTTACTGATTCATCTATGTCCCAACCCTCACCTATGGTCATGGGCTCTGGGTAGTGACCAAAGAATGAGATTGTGGATACAAGCGGCTGAAATGATTTTCCTCCATGGGCTCAGCTTTACTGTACATTCACACCAAAAGCTGCCAGAGCTGCAAAATAGCTGAATTCGCTCTAGCAGCGCTGCTGGTAAAATATTTGGGGCAGCGAAAGCAGCTCAAGTCGCTAATGACGTCAAATTCTGAATGTTCGATTATGCTTCTCAATTTAAAGGAGCAGCAAAGCAGGTAACTGGTTGGAGCACAGAAATGGGACTTCATACATTTGCCTGAGGACAGAAACTTTCATGTTTGGACAATGAAAACAGGATAAAAAGTCTAAATAGGTCTGACAGTAAACACACACAGCCTGTGTTGCATTCAGGCGCTGTCACGTAAATAACAAATTCCATTACTTGAATACACCGTAGCACAACACAGCAGCATGTCAAGTGGGCCGAACCCAAACCGAGCAACATTTTTTGATTTGTTATCCCCCCCCCCCCCCCCCCCCCAAAGCTGTAAACCTAGGGGAAACACTGTCAATGATTTGGGTTCGAGTGCCTACAGTGCGATTAGTTAAACTGGTGGTAAGGAGAGCAAATTAATTGCATTCCTGCTAATAACAAGCATTCCAGAACACAAAAAATTGTATAAGTACGTGCGCTTGTCCACACTTGTGTATCGATTCAACATGGAAGAAGACACTTTTGTAATTTGTGCTGTCGTGTGGTACCTGTAGCCGCCGTCGGGTCTGGGTTCACGATATCCTCCGGGGCTGTGAACAGGATTTGGGAATACCATCAGCTGGTGCGTGAGCTGCAGCTGGATGAGGAGAGGTTCCAGAGCTACTTCAGGCTGAACATAGCAGTCTGACAGCTTGCTGCTTGTTTTGAAGTAGGAACGAATGTGTTGTAGGAACTAAAAGTTTCCGAGGATGTTCTCTGGGTTCCACACCTCCTTCACCTCGAAAGGGGTCAGTTGAGGTGGTTTGGGCATCTGATCAGGATGCCTGCTGGGCGCCTCCTGTTAGAGGTGTTTCGGGTATGTCCCACTGGTAGTAGGCCCCTGGGCAGACCCAGAACATACTGGAGGGACTACATATCTCATCTGGCCTGGTAACGCCTGGTCCCCCAGGAGGAGCTGGAAAGAGTTGCTGAGGAGAAGGACGTCTGGGGTGCTTTGCTTGGCCTGCTGCCCCTGCGGCTGGATGGATGGATGGAGGCTATTTATTGAAGTTTTACAGTAGCTCTAATCTGTGTTCATCTGTAAAAAAGTTGTTTTAGGTCCTTAAAAAGTCTTGTTTTGAAATTTTGTTCATGAAAATGTGTTCATGAAACACCAGAAGTTTCAGACTCTATAATGCTTTAAAGAGAAACTTAACAATTGTACACATAAGTGTGTTTCCAGTTGTTGGGGGGTTCTCCTGCCTTTGTGAAAAAGTAGTTTAAAGCCTTTAGTGTCTCCAGAGGGAGCTGTCGTGAGTCTAATAAATGTTCGCGAGTGATGAAATAAAAAAATGTGGAGGTTTGGATTTAGAAAGAAGTGAGCTCACCAGACCTCTGTAGCCTGCTGCTCATCTCTGCTGCAGGACAGAGGCTCATTTGCTATGTTAGCTGCTGCTAGTATAACACACCGGAATCTCTGACCAGCTGCCAGCAGTCATGATTTATAAGGGCCATAATCAATGAGGCAACCTTCATTGATTCAAAAATCACCAAACTTGGTGGACTTTTTTTAGTTAAGCCATTAAAGCATGTCCCCAAAATATTTCTGCAGTTGACCAATAGGAAGCGACAGTGCCGCCAAAGAAGAGTATGGCCTCGTAAAGATTTGTACACATATATCTGTCTGATTATCATAAAACCTGTTGGTAATCTTTAATGCAGGCATCCTGAACTGTCAAAGGTCTTGATTCTACCCAGCTTTCAAGTTTTAAATGTCTATGCTGGCTTGAACCCCAGAATTGCCTCTTGCGGCTCTTTGTCTTATTCTTTTTACTCCTGTTTTTTTCTATACTATGTTTAGTTGTCTATCTTTTCTCGCTCTCTCCTGTCCCCCTCTGTCTGCCTTTGCTCTTCTTCTCATCCAGTGTGTGTGTGTGTGTGTGTGTGTGTGTGTGTGTGTGATAACACATTGCATGGCTCATGTTGCTTCAGATCAGTTTGCACAAGGTCACCACTCAGGACAGAGAAGAATCCAACCATCCTGACACATAGAAACCTTGTGCTGTTGTATTTTGTCCTACAGTCAGCTGCAGGTCTGCAGGTACCTGCCACTCCCTCTGTGTCTACCGGAGCTGCTAAGTGACTGCAGTAGATTTTAATTTAACCTTAATGGAGTGGCTGGTAACTAATCAAACTTCTAGCAGACATAGTCTAAGAGGGATTTGCTTTGATTTGTTTTTGTGGTTCATTAAGCAAACTCAGTGGGAGGTCACGACAGTCTCAGAATGTACTAAATATAATAGTAGAAAATCTGATAGTATAAATGTAGCATCTGTGTGGAACAGCTCACAGTGTAAAGCAGAGAAGGTCAATTACTAATAGATCCTTGCAGTGTCGGAAGATTTAAATAATTAAGATACCCATGCTGTGTTAGCTGTAAACTAGAGACTGCAGATGCATTGCAAATGCTCCTGCTGACAATAGGTACATGTATTAATCAACAGAAAATAAAGGACTGTCTACATACACTTAGGAATGAGTGTCAGTAAGAAGCAGCTGATCTGGCAACAACTGATCAAGTCAGCTGTTGCCAGATGTAGCGACAGTGTATTGCTGAGACAGAGACATGTCTAAAAAAAAAGAAGTAAATTTTCTACTGATTAGGGTTGCAATGATCACCAGTTTGAAGGTATACCGTGTTATAAAAGTTGATGGTATCATACTGTGTACATTTGCTTATCTACGATTTCAAAAAACTGCAACTGTACGGAGAATCTCACCTTTATTGCCGTTATTTTTAAAGGGGAGACTTTTTACGCAAACTTCTATTAACAAAATGTTTTCAAGTTTCAATAATAAAACATTTGTTCAACCAACAATAAACCTTCCGTTTTTATTCCTTTAAGGGTCATTCTGACTGATAATAAAATAAATTACGTAATACCGTAAAACCTTGATATTTTCTGAGATGGTTACTGTACCGTACCATACCTGTACCATTGCAACCCTACTACCCTAATACCCAACCCTACTACTCCTGAGCTATTTGTCTGAAAGATGCCTGTTTGGTGTCAGAATGTTTAGAAGAGTTGGGGCTTGTGAGAAATGGGTTCAATATTTACCTCAGTGACTACGGAGCCAAAGAATTGGTCATAGTCTGTGCTTAAGTTCACTTCTCCCATTGGATTGAATAGACTCAGGACTGCCGCTAGATTTGAATTCTGTAATGTTATTCAGAATAGACTAACTCTAGATGTAGTACTACTCTATGGGCCTTTTAAAAACTGGAACCTACCCACTCCCACTCTGTCATAGAGTGTAACTCTATTATAGTTGCCTTCGCAGCTGAATTAAGCATAAATAAAAGCAGCGAGCTTTAGGACAAACTTCCCACTCTGTGGCAGAAAAAGGAACTGTTGTAACTTTTCATAACTATGGAAAAAAATAAAACTAAATCCTGTTTTATGTTCTTCTTATGTATTTGTAGTACTTAAATTTGATCTGTATGTGCCGCTGTTGTTTACCTTAAGTTTTGTATATAATCCTTTTTTCATTAAAATAAATGAATAATTTGATAAATAATTAAATAAGTAGAAATAAAACTTAGTCCTAATAGTCTAGTTCCTTATGTATTTTTATTCAGAATTTTTGGGGATTGATAAACTATACAATTTTGGAATCGCTAGAATATGAGGAATATGAAAATTGATGTTTCCATTTTTTAAAAACTCTCCATGGTGGCCATTTTGGATTTGTGAAAGTGAATGTTCGAAACGCCAGTCAGGTTCAAAGCCATGCAGGTGTTTACTTATTTACTAAAGCCACATTTATGCTTCACACAGGGTAGGAGTTCCCATGGTCATGAAAATTATTCAAAAGTCATGGAATTTAGTTGTGTGTAATTAAAATTGTCACAATTATCTTCCGTGGATAACCTTCCACGTAATGTAACATAATGGCAGATTTCTTTTCTGAAGCTGATCATGTAACGTACCATAAAACATCAACTAAAAGCCTTGTCCCAATATACATTTCATTTATTCAGATGTTAACATAAACTATCACTTGGATATAAATTAATTGAATTTGGTGGTCAAAGGTCAAGGTCACTTTGACCTCATAAAACATGTTTTTGGCCACAACTCAAGAATTCATGTGCTAATGTTTCACACAAATGTCTAATTGGATAAAATGATGAAGTGGTATCATTTTATATCCAAAAGGTCAAAGGTCAGCTTCATTTTGACATCATAATGATCTGCATAAAACACTTTTCTGTCTATTATTCAGCATCATATCTCCAGAACAGAAGGGGAAGTATTTGGTCAGATACTGAATTGGGGACTCTAATCTTGAAACTGTGCTGATTGTACAGATCTTCTGTGTGTGATGTTCACACACATAGATGGAAACTGTAAGAGAAACTTGACTGGTGCGCGGAGGCATACAACCATGTGGCGGTAACTGTAGTTTTAGTGACTGCCTGTAAACTTAAAATGTCATTCTTCATCTTCAGTATCACTTTCATCTTAATCCTGGTTTTTAGATCTTGAGTCCTCATCGTTCTCACATTGTTTACTGCAAAAGCTAAGGTCAGTGCATCGTAAGTCTTTTGACCTACAAGAACATCTTAGTGTTGAACAAGCATTTTGTGTGTTGTAATGTTTTGAATCTGCTTTTATCCATCCACATGACATTCACTACACTTCAAAATGAGCTTGGGGTATGCGGTGGAGAGACGCCCACACCCACTTAGAAGACTGGAAGTATATACCAATTCATACCATTGGCATAACTTGTAATGTGGTATCTTTTGGTATCTTTAGAGTATCTTTTGAAAGAGTGACAGAGAGAGGGACAGAGAAGGTGGACTATTGCATACAATGTATACTAATGTGTAATGTTTCTGTAAGTTCTTAATTACCTATGATATTTGTAAGCACCAGGAGTTGAAACACGCATCACAAGACATGAGCCTATTCATCTGAGATTCTTCTTGGTGTTACTGGTCAGTCATGGCGTGTAAAACCACAGTGACTTCAAGACTCCCAATTACAAGACAAGTTGGGTAGTGTGAAAAGTACTTTGGAAGTCGTGTAGTGTGAACTGAGCTTAAACCGACTCTTGCAAACCGTACAGTCAGATACACAGTAGTGTAGATAATGCTTTTGCCTTTTCTGGACCTACAATACTCCAGAATGATTGGATCTGCAAAGCACCTGATACCATCAAGATTGCAGTGTTCTCTGCCAACAAGTCATAGTTGGCCATTGCCAAAAGCAGGACATCTGTGTCAGAAAAGAAGAAAGTAAGTTGAACATCTGCCGATTTTTGTTTTGCTGTTGATACAGCAGAGCACATCATGAAGGTGGTTCTCATCAAGGTTCTCATCGTTTTTGCTGAGGCTTCCAACATCTTTGTTGCTCTTTGTGCGACCAGACGTTTAGGTGATGTGACTAACTTAGGGAAAGTTGGCACATGAAACCGTACACGGTATGACTCCATTGAAATGTGATCCCATCAGCTCCTTTAGCATATGCATTGAAAGTTAGTCATTTCTTCTTACATTGTACAGATGCAGCCACTTCAAATTTCCGTTTGGCCCGTGGTAGAGCCCTGATCGATCCGTGATAGGTCCCTGTCGTCACCTGGCTGGGCTTGTAGCTCTAATGAGATCCCCCACCATGACGTAGCAAATACGGGTCGTCT